AAGTTGAAAAGTGGAAAATAATTCGTCACCCACAAGGATTCGGAGACGTTTTTGAACACTATCAAGGCTAGAGAATGAGGTCTAGTCAGCTCCCACCCAAATATGACAACAGTACTACATTATTGGCCTGATTTGGCTCTTGTAAAAGTAGAGAATAGCAGGAGGAGTCAGATACTTATTTGAACGGTACAGAAAGCCGACCATTTTACCTGCATCCTTAGCAATGGATCGCATGTAAGAGTTCCAATTGAGGTCCGGTGTGGGTTTGAGGCCTAAAATCGGTGCTTCATCGGGAGGACTTCCGTTCATCCTGATTGGTAAAAATTTTACAATTTAGATCATGTTTTAGTAATCTGACTAAATGAATATCCTAATGTGTTAAACGGATTAAGTTAGGAGGATGCGGCAATGTATTCCAACTTAACGAACTGACATTCCGAGTTTAAATTGACTCAATTGTAATTCAGATGATTGACACACTTACTGAAGGCTGAAACAAAACTTTTGGCAGAAATATTTCCTATTCACCGAAGTTTCAACAGAGTGACATGAGTTAACAATAAAAATTTGGTTTCCTATATTCTTAGAGATTACAATAAAATAAACCTACCTTATTTCTGCAAATATTCACCAGTTTGGCATTGGCTTGTTTCTGTTCCAAATGGCTAGACTTTTTTCAACAGGAAATAAAAGAATTAGTTTACAGTGTGTTTTCGTCATTTTAATAACAATGATTATGTTATTGACAAATTTAATGTTTTTTATCTTCATTGGATTGTCTGGTGGAAATAAATTTACTTGCCGCCCTAAAACAAGTACTCTCAATATATATATATATATATATATATATATATATATATTTTATATATATATATATATATCGATATATATATATATTTGAGAGAAAACAAAACAACTTATCTACATATTTACAGAACATGAATGCGACAGTAGTTTGTTCAATCATTAAAATAGATACACATTATCAATTATGGAAAATGTAAGTGAATTAAGGTCTTACTTCATATCTGACTTGGTCGTACATTGTGTCAATGAAGGAACTTCGATATAAAAGGCAAGAGAAAATAGTGGTCTGTTATAGATGCGATATCGGTCTGAGGCGTAAGAAACAACTGTCTAGGCGACTTATATTTCTCGCCTCTAGCCTGATTTTCATGTGACGCATTTCTTACTCTTTGACATGTACACGTTGAGTCAAGCGCTGATAATTGAGTTTTGTCAAACTACACTCTTGTTACACAAATAAAAATTAAGATCTCAGTCAACTTTATTGTTCTATCTATAGAGAGTGGATCGGGAAGATGGATGCATATCATTCCAAAAGTCACTGGTGCAAAACAAACACGACAGCCTCCGCCAAAATTTGAACACGGCTAGCTGATTTAATTTTTCGTTCCCCTCCACACACACACACGCACACACACACACATTGTTTTTTACTTTACCTTTAATCTTACTATCAGAAACATCTTTGATATATTTATTCATTCATTTATTTAGTTAGTTATTCGCCGTTATTTATTTCTTTATTTATTCACTCTTATTTATTTATATGTTCTTATTTGTTTTTTTTTATTTTATCTTATTTTATTTATTTTGATATCTATTATTTTTATTAATAGATTAACTAATTTTTATTAATCTTGATATTATTTTTCACTGCATATTTTATTATTATTATCATTACTTTTAACTTCATTAGTATTAATATTAATAATATTATTAATTTATTTATTGACTTGAATGAAAAAAAATAGATTTACCCCCCCCCCTTGATTTTCGAAAGGTTTTTCCCATAATAACAGCGTCTGTTTTATAATTCTTATTTCCAACCTTATTTTCAATCTTAAATGTTAATCTGGGCCTAAATTCAAATCCACAATTAAAACAACTTTTCATTTAAATAATTAAAAGCAATAATAATTGACCGTAACAATCTCGTGATAACTAGAAATATTTAAAAAAAAAAACGGTGTTAACTCAAAAAATTCGCACCTGACGATTGCAGAAAGCATGAAACTCCGAGATGTGCAATCAATGTAAGGTATTATGTGTATTTCTTAATTATTTCTTAATTATTATGTGTATTTCTTAATATATATTAAATAGCTCTGTTATTTGACATTGAGAACTGTTTTCTTACACTATAAAGTATTCATATGTAATCGTATCGCTCGTATATATTAATTTATTATATCAGATTAAAAACTTATTAAAAATTGCTACACAATAATAGCTTTCATGTTTCAGCACTAAGTTGCGACTGATCAGGCTATGGTAAATAACTTGTGACTAAATAATTATTTTTAAATTTCAAAAGCAGAATACCCCTTAACTTCTTATAAAAATTGAACAACTTATATTTGTTTCATAATTATGATACAAGGTTGCCATTCGCTTATAGTTTGTATTAGTTTCTTGTCTACCACTTATGATCTTATCTAGGATTATATTTCAGATCATATTTTACCATGATCAAAATTTCTTTCTTTTTTTCAGTAGGTTAATTTTGGATTTAGCGTAGGTCTGACACCTAATTCGTTAATCAGGTTAAACCACAAGCCTTATTGTAATTTTGATCTGTTATCTTATCGGAAATAGAATAAGTACAAATTCAGCAAATGAGAAGATTTACTATGAACATATTAATTTCTATAATAAATCTCTAAAAGATAGTAGCTACAAAACCCCAAAACTAACTTATATATATAATAAAAAAGGAAAATGAAAAGCATAGAAAAAAACAGAAGTAGAAAAATAATTTGGTATACACCCCACATACAACCAAATGGTAAAGAAGAAATTAGGACAAAAATTCCTTGCATTAATAGTTAAGCACCTTCCTAGAGAAAGTAAACTAAGTACTATTTTCAATAAAAATACACTAAAATTAAGTTACAGCTGTACTGAAAACTTAAAAAAAAATTATTAAGAAACATAATGCTAATATCTTCAATAAACACTTAGACCAAAACCAAAGAAATTTAGACAATATAAAAATAAAAATAAAAAGAGATGAAGATAAACAAAAATTATGTAACTGTAGAAACCCTCATAACTGTCCTCCACAATTTAAATGTCGCACGGAATCATTAGTATACCAATGCAATATCTCATCTATTGAGAATCCTGAGAACATAAAAATCTATATAGGTTGCACAAGCCATGAGTTCAAAAAGCGGTTCAATCAACACCAAACCTCATTTAGGATAAATAAATACAGAAATCAGGCATCGCTTTCAAAGTATTTCTGGCACTTAAAAGAATCAAATAAAACACCTACAGTAAAATGGAAATTAATAAGAAAAGCTAGAATTTGTAGGTCGTTAAATGACCCATGTCCTTTGTGCATACATGGGAAACTATATATTACTAAGTTTATAAAAAATAAAAATTTACTGAATCAGAGAAATGAAATAGCTATTTTTTTGCCGTCATTGTCAAAAATTTTCCTTAAATAATATTTAAAAATAAAAGTTAAAAATAAAATTAAAAAATGGGAGCTGATAATATACATACTTATATCCGATATGAAAAAGTAATTTTAAATAATTTAAGTAATTCTATTACATTTACTTGTTTTAAAAAGAAAAAGAGTCTATTAGTAATAAAGAGTAAAAAATATTTTACAATTATAGTTAAATAAAACGTATTCTAACCGAAACACCCCTAGAAAAAATCTTTAAGTATAAAAGTACGAAAAAAAATACCGAAAAACTGTTTGCCGTTAATAAAAAAAATTAAAAAAACAGGCGACATGCATTTAACGGATGTCAGAAAAAAAAATACACCACTATCCACTAAACTTAACCTCTTTTTCAAACGTAGCTCATAATTGATGCAACAATAGTTAATAAAAATGAACACGCTACCGCCCCTGTCTAAATGATTGGATTTCTCTTTATCCTTGGAAACAGGAAATTATGAATTTATGCGTGCGTTTGAAACTCAGTAAATTTAAAAATAAGTTATTCCAATATTCGCTTGAAGATGAAACGGAACTAATCCTTTTAATTATATAATTAAATTTAAAGTTTTTAGCTTCAATTTTTAAAACAGGGTTATTACTGTGCAGCGAAAAAAATATATTTTAAATTAGTTAATTTATAATATTTATGCTCTGTAAATTTACAGTGGGCACTGTTTTGTAAAAAATAAAAATATCAATAAGAACACCGGATTATATATCTTACTGTTCTTTCTTTATATATATATATATATATATATATATATATTGTATATTTTGGCAGCAATCCTTCTTTTAGACATATTTTATTAAATAGAACGGACAAGGAAAGTCTATTTTACCTTTTTGTCTTTTTGTGAGTTTCAGCTGGCGTCGATCATACATATAGGTGTGTGCGCGCGTACGTGCGTGTGTGTGTGTGTGTATAGATAGATAAAACAGTGTGTGTGTTTGTGTATGATCGACTGGTGACCTCAAATACGAGTTGCCAGCTATTATATATATATATATATATATATATATATATATATAAGCAGTGTGGATACGGAGATCAACACCGAGTGGTGACAGTCTGTCTCCTGCTTGAACGAAATCTTCAGACTAGATGAAAAAGCCTCCGGTCACTAGGTGTTGATCTCTCTGACCACACCATTTATATTTACATACGCTCTATCTTAGATATTGAGAACTTTTACCCCATAAATATAGTATACTTTAAAATTGTATTTTTACAATAAATATATATATATATATATATATATATATATATATATATATATATATATATAATTAGCTGGTCCGAATATATATACATATATATATATGTCTGTGTGTGAGTGAGAGAGAGAGAGTTGATAGAGAGAGACAGAGTTTGGGACATAGATAAAGACCAGACAGAGAGAGAGAGAAAGTCAGAGAAAGTAACAAAGACCATACAGTTAGCGACAGACAAAAACCAGATATATAAAGAGAGTTAGAAACTGTGACAAAGACCAGAGAGAGAGAGAGAGAATTAGAGACAAGAATGAAGACCACAGAGAGAGGGAGTGTTAGAGACAGAGAAAAATACCAGAGATAGCAAGAGAGAGAGAGAGAGAGAGAGAGAGACCAAGGTGTAGACCGATTCATAATCGCTCGCAAAAAAGTATAACATTGTGGTCTGAGTAAAACTGATGCAACTATCACTTTCATGACAACTCGATGTTTATAGAGCCCGAATCAGAAGAAACATGGCAGCCACTTATTGACTTGTAGTCGAAGTTTTTTTTCTTCTAATTTTGGTGACTGAAGATCGAATTGTCGGGAAACACTTTTACTATTTAACTGTTTTGCTATTCCGGAATTCTACATGTTTTTTGCGAGCGATTTTCTGTGTTGGACTACATTTGATTCTGTCATGGCTCTATCTCTTATACTGAGCACGGTTATTAAAAAAATAAATTAAATATTCATTTTGAAAACATGCATACACACACAAACACACACACATATATATATATATAATGTATATGTATATAAATATATATACATATGTGTGCGCGCAATTTTATATATATTATATATGCGCAGTACTTATTGGAGAGCGCTCAATAGTGATAGAGCTGACATATTTAGTTGGATTGGTGTGTTTGTGGGTTTCCCGCTATTTAGGATCGTCAGACCTGACGGTTGCAAATTGCGTGAAACCCAGGATCACAAACTTACATCAATCCAACTAAATATATATAAAATGTGTGTGTTTGTGTGTATCGACACTGGTAACGCCTCAGTGTCAACATATATATATATATATGTGTGTGATAGAAAGAAAGAAACTGTGTGTGCTAGATAGATACATCTAGTCTATAAGAAACCTCAACAGAATGCAGAAAGCACTGGACGGCCGTTTCGTCCTATATTTTGGGACTCATCAGCAGTGCGCATCCACTACCGAGAATTGAAACCCGGACAATTAGGTTGTTAAGCAAACATCATACCAACTGTTCCACTGGGCCTCGGTAACGAAAAGATTGCAAATCAGACTCAACATAGCGCCGCTCGCTCACATATTCCGTGGTGGAACTTGACTGAGTTCTCTCTAACCATAGGACTGTGACCCCTGGAGCCACGACTATATATATATATATATATATATATATATATATATATATATATATATATATATATATATATATATATATATATATATACCTTGCTAACCGAATGATCCTCTGTGGCCGAATCGGTTAAAAGGCACGTCAGGCTATATGACGGATATATATATATATATGAAACATTTTTATGTTAGAGACATTAGTTTCAGAAAGTTATAAATGAAAGAATTTTGTTTTAATCATTTCACCAGAAGCAAAGCAATAATGCAACTAAGACGCAAGAGGCTTATGAGTGTGAAAGAATAAGAAAAATTAGGAAAGAGAGCGGACAATAAAAGGAAAGGTATTAAAAAGACAAAAGATGAAGATTAACACTGCATTTAAATTTTTGAAGATCAAAGTTAAATGGAAAGCAAGAAGCCGGGAGGGAGTCCTACAAGCGAGAAGTGCAGAAGAAGAAACTGTCAGCATAGAACTTACGGTTATATCTAACCATTTCAAATGTAAAATTCACCGACATAATGATTATTATTATTATTATTATTATCAAATTGCATGATAATTTTTTTTTTATTTCTTGTTCATATCTTTATATCGCACAAAGCTCAGAGCATCTCCTCAAATTTAACTTTAAATTTTCAGCATAAAATGTTGAATTACTTTACCATTTCCGTATTGGATACATTCCTTTAGCATTTTTTCGATGTTTTCAGTTAACTTTAGATACTGTTTGTTGTAATCTAGAAAGAATTACTGAATAAGGAATAACCAAAATGGAGCTTGGAAATGAAATGGTAATCTTCATAACATCAACAAAATACAATACTCGCCAGCGGCGTGAATTAGGTAAACCACTGCTAGTGGTGGACTACTTAGACAACATATTACACACACTTACAATAGTGTTCAACGTATTTGAGGATTGGGACATGTGCATTAGTGTTCATAGGTACGTTATATAACAGATAGATAGATAGATAGAGAGAGAGAGAAATAGATAGATAGATAGATAGATAGATAGATAGATAGATATGAACAGACTAAGATAGATAGATAGATAGATAGATAGATAGATATGAACAATGTAATAGATAGATAGATAGATAGATAGATATGAACAGACTAAGATAGATAGATAGATAGATATGAACAATGTAATAGATAGATAGATAGATAGATATGAACAGACTAAGATAGATAGATAGATATGAACAATGTAATAGATAGATAGATAGATAGATAGATAGATAGATAGATATGAACAGACTAAGATAGATAGATAGATAGATAGATATGAACAATGTAATAGATAGATAGATAGATAGATAGATAGATAGATAGATAGATAGATAGATAGTGTTGTAACCTAGAAAAGGTTACTGAATAAGGAATAACCAAAATGGAGGTTGAAAATGAAATGATAATCTTCATAACATCAACAAAATACAATACTCGCCAGCGGCGTGAAGTAGGTAAACCACTGCTAGTGGTAGACTACATAGACAGCATATTACCCCCCCCACACACACACACACACACTTACAACGTATTTATGAGGATTGGGACATACCATTAGTGTTCATAAGTACGGTATATAGCACCCCCACTTTTTAAATTTAATCTGCACAGAATCAATATCTTTTTTAAGGATTTTAGTCTTTCTTCTTATCCGTCATTGGATTATATTTTCTCTTCTTCCTGTTTCCTTTGTTTTATTTTTATTGGACTATTCTGGTACATTTTCTTCCTCAGATTTTTTTTTACTTCAGCCATTTTTAAAAATTATTATTTCACCTTATCTTTCTTTCTTTATTTTCTTTTTTTTTTTCTTCCTCTTTTTCTTTCTTGAGGGTTTTAGTTTTTCTTATCCGTCATTAGATTACATTTTCTATTCTTCCTGTTTATTTTTATTCTTATTGAACTATTCTGGTACATTTTCTTCTTTAGATTTTTTTTACTGATCAGGCTTTTTTTAATTATTATTTCACCTTATCATTCCTTCTTTATTTTTATTTTTCTCCCTTCTTTCTTTTTTCTTTTTTTGTTCTTTTCTTTATATATTTCTTCGTTTCTTTTTTCTTTGTTTGAAAATCAGTTCATTTCATTGTCACCTTCATTAGTTTTCTTCCATTACTTCTTTCTTCATTCTCTCTCTCTCTCTGTTTCTTTACCACATTCTCTCATATTTCTCTCTCTCTAAACCTTTCACACATTGTTGTAACCTAGAAAGGGTTACTGAATGAGGAATAACCAAAACTGAGAAATGAAAATGGTAATCTTTAGAACATCAACAAAATACAATGCTCGCCAGCGGCGTGGAGTAGGTAAACCACTGCTAGTGGCGGACTAATTAGACAACATATTACCTCCACTTACAATAATGTCCAAAGTATTTATGAGGATTGGGACATACGCAATAGTGCTCATAGGTAAGGTATATAACACTGTTTTTTTTTGGGGGGGGTCTTGTTTTTGTTTTTGTTTTTTTTTGTCCACAAATATATTACTAGGCTAATTGATACATATCTACATAAGTGTGCGTAGCTCTCCTTGCCTCATCTCAAAACATATTAACATACTACAAACGAATCCACTATAGTCCTGGGTATGACGATAAACTACATCCGGCAGCAGTGCCTCAAATCAGGAGATTGAAAGTTCTGAGGAGCATGGAACCAAATCTTAATTGCTGTTGTTCCCAGGTTCAATCTGACCTGGGGTGTCATCACCTGTTAGGGTCACAGCTATAGGCAAATAATTAACCCACACACTGGGGGTGAAAACACTATGAAAGTGTAAAATGATCCCAAAGAAAAACAAAAACCTATGAAAGTAAATAAAATAAAAATTACCAACAATACATTTCTGTAGTTGAAGGCATAAACATCCTGAATATAACGATATACTACATCCGACACAAGGCCACGAATAAGGAGGGTTTGAGGAGCATGAAACCACCTCTTAATTGTGGTTTCTCCCAGGTTCACGCTGACCTGGGTGGTAGCACCTGTTAGGGTCCCAGCTATGGGCAAATAGTTAACCCCCAAACTGGGGTCAAAACACTATGAAAGTGCAAAAATAGATTTTAATAGTCAAAATTCCAGGAATACATTTAAAAAAAAATATTACCAGCAATGCATTTCTGAAAAAAATATCACCAGCAATACATTTTAAAAAATATATATTACCGGCAATACATTTGACTCTCGACAAAAACCCTTTTTACAAAAATTCTCGAATGAAACCTGATCTGCAAACTGATTTTTTTTTACAAAGAATACATATTCTATTTATACGAACCGATCCTAAAAATTATGTCAGAATTAAATAACTCATTGAGTTGTTGATATACCGTAAAACAAAATAAACCAAACCTATCCTAAAAAATGTTGTCAGCATTAAATAACCCATTGATGTTGATATGCCGTAAAACAAAACAAACCAAACCTATCCTAAAAATCTTGTCGGCATTAAATAACTTATTTGAGGTGTTAATATAAACCAAATGAGAATGTCAATAAAATCAATTTCTCTACAAACTGCATATCCAAAACTGCATCAATGTTACCATACTCTCAACAAAATCTCTCGGCAATACATTTGACTCTCGACAAAAACCCTTTTTACAAAAATACGTCAATGAAACCTGATCTACAAAACGATTTCTTACAAAAAATAAATATTCTATTCATACGAATCTATTGCAAAAAATTTTGTCAGCGTTAAATAACTCATTGAGGTGTTGATATACCGTAAAACAAAACAAACCAAACCGAAGACATGAAATTGTTCAAAATATTTAGATTTTGGCATTAAATAACCCATAGTGGTGTTGATATGCCATTAAACAAAATCAATCAACCAATGAATCCACTAATGATTTTATTGATATGTAAGGAAAGCAAAGAAAAACTACATCTCTGTTATTCTGTGACTAAGACTAAAGAACAAAGTTTCTACAATGATAGAATCAATTTTCTACATCCATTATTTCCACTGAGAAGAACTTAAATTTTTGGTTGTTTGTTTATAATATTGTTATTTTGTTTCGATGATATGGAATCTTTAATTGCAAATGTTAAGATATTTAAACGAAAGACATATCTTTCTTAAATTTCATTTCTTTCTTAGAGTTTCTTATAAATCCAAACTCAGTAAACTCTGTCCTAAATTGCAAATCCAAAACTCGATGTCAGTTCTTCTTTAATTAAACTGCATTTAATAACAGAATCCGACAACGCATACCAAAATGAACACTGAAGTCTCAGGATTCCAAATCTAAGCTTCAACATAACTTCAACCGTGTTACGAGGATCGGTCAAAAAGTAGTTTGTTGTTCTCTAATTACAGCTGATTTAATAATAGACGCAAACAGTGCATACTGAGATAAACGCAAAAAGTCGCAAGATTCCATATCGAGGCCCTCATATAGTTTCCTTCGTTTTTAACCGTAATACGAGGGTCAATCAAAAAGTAATATCAGTTGGGTTTTTTTTAATTACAACACATTTAATACTAGAAACTCACAGTACATACCAAAATAAACACAAAAGTTACAGGATTCTGAACTTAATCCTTAACATAATCTGTTTCCTTCTCAATCGTGTTTACGACGGTCGGTCAAAAAGTAATGCTTATTCTTCTTCAGTTACAACACATTTCATAATAGATGCCGACAGAGCATACTAAAATAAACACTGGTCGACCAAAAGGTAAAAATTGTTCCTCTCTAATTACAGCATATTTAATAATAGACGCACACAATGTATACCAAAATAGATAAAAAAAAGAAAAACTCTCAGTATTCTAGATCTAGTTTTCAGTATTTTCTCCTTCATTCTCAATCGTGGTACGAGAATCGACCAAAAAGTAATATATATTCATATCCATATTTAATTGGCGAAGCACACAAAACATAACAAAATAAATTATAAAACATCTCAGAGTTTCAAATACTTCACCCCCTCCGCCATCTAGATAGTTTTCTTCCTTCTCAATCGAAATATTCTACCTTTGAATGAGAGCATTTATACACTTCACGTAACTGCTTTCTTTGACATGCACGAGTTCCTTCTTCCTCTCACATGTTGTCTGCCGAGTACCTTCTTCCAATTCAGAAGCTCTTGGCTAGCAACCATACTCTACTCCTTCATCAAGTCTGCTAGCATTCTGGGAACACACTTTGCGCAGACTTTTCCGGAGCCAAGAAGTTGTACTAAACTACGGGCGTTGCCATGACTCACTTGAAGGATTTTAACAGTTCTGCAAAAGTGATTCTTCTATCAACAATAATGGTAACATCGGTCTATTTGGCCTTATGTTCATTCAGAGAAGTAGCTGGCCTGCCACAGTTACTAAAGCCAATCTATCCATGCTCTCTGAAGTCACCATTAATAGAGTTACTAGTAATAATATGGCTTCTAATTAAGGTTCTTAATTGTTTGTTTTCCCTCGTCGATCTCTGCTTAATCTAACCTTTCTTTATAGTTCTTCTCATGTTTTAATTAATTCGTGTTAATCCTATAAACTACGTAAGGACGTTTTCATGTACAAACGGGAATTGTGACCGGCTACAGTCACTTTGCACTAAGAACTGTCTTAGGATGTATACGTTTTTCGCGAAAACATTTTTTGAAAAAGTCTGGTGTATAATATATCAGGCCCACGCCCAAAGAAGTCGCTAATGTCCAATCGAGACATTGTACAGTGATGACTAGTACTGCTCTTATCACTGGATCTTGATCATCAGATTTCTCTTTCTTTTTAAGAAGATTTGCGTCATCTGGAATCGCAGCATCGATCAGATTATGCTTTTCCTTCTTACCATGAACTACGATATCTGCTTCGTTGGCTGCTATAGACCTGTCGGTATTTTTAGCCATATCTTGTATTATTATAGTGTTTTGGACGCAGTTTCGAGCGCATCTACTTTTATGTGCATAACTCCAAACTTTATAGTCCATATTTTTCACAGTACTCGAGCAAGGTCCTGTTTTGTTTTTTGGTATTTTTTTTTTGTGTGTGTTTTTTTTAATTTCTCACTCTCTTTAATTTTTAATCTGCTATCAGCTCACACAGACAGGTCCAACATTTGGCAAGATTTTCTTTTCTGATGCACGATTATTTGATCCGGTCTGTTTGCTTGAATTGGGTGCTCGGACTAGTTGCCGTAATGTCAAAATATTGTATGATCTTTGTTTTCTTGGGCAGTCTCTGTCGTCCTGATGCCATTTGTTTACATAGTCGGTGGAATTTGCTTGCTTGCTTGCCTCATTCGTTTTCTACGGTTTATCAACTTTCTACTGATTATTTATAGCCATAAAATATTTTTCTCGTTTACAGTCGCTCTTTCACAGATGTGACGTTGCTTCCCTCTGTCTTTTCTACAAATATTTTCACGGTAACTGCTCCGACGAGCTACTTTCGCTGGTTCCCGAACTGCATGAATTTAAACATGCCATTCGGTTGGCATCTCAGTCCCACCCTTTCACTGTCGAAACGGTTAAATGTAGCCGTCTCTTCTACTCCAATAGCTTCATGTCTCGCACTTCCCATCTGTGGAACTCCCTTCCTCTTATTTGCTTCCCTGATAGCTATAATCTCTAAATATTCAAATGCAATGTCAATTGACATCCCCAGATGCCTTGATCTATTCTCCGTCATTCTCTTTATCCTTTCCTCTCTCACTCCTCTTTACTCTAGCCCCCTCTCTCTGTAACCCCTTGCGTGTTAGTAGCACTGTCGCCTTGCTTGGGGTAAAATCCTTTAAAAAATGGTTTAGTGAATCAAGTCTTATTAATTAACCCCAGAGCTTGGGGGGAGAGGGCAGAAGAGATGGATTCATACCTTTCGAAAGGGTATTTATGCGTAAGTGAATATAACCAACCCAATTGGAATTGGAACTCGGTTCTCCGATTAACAATTCCGAGCTATTATCCATTACACCACCCGCACATCTAAGCTTACAACACCTTGTATGCCCAAGCTGTTAGCCATCTTTTTATTGATCATAAACTGCTTGACTTCGCTGATCGTACGGAAACCGGTGTTTCATCATGATGTCGCCGTAAGTTGAAGTCGTTTGCACAGTTCTCAGTGTAAGACTATTACCACTCTGTCATGTCTTCTTTTGCATTTTCTTTTTTTCTATACTATATTCATTATGTGATCTGCTGTTTGATTTATTTCTCTGCATAGGCGCAATTTACTTTTTGTTTTCCAGCATTATTGAATCAGAGAGTAGCCCGCCAACAAAGTGAAACTGGAGTATAAATATACGAAGCTAGATATACTCATCATGACTATAAGACTATCAGTCTGATGAGGGCATCCCATGCATATGCACCACAGACAAATGAGTGCGATATGACGGCAGGTTTGATGTAGGTGGAGCCTAGTTAGGAATATCTTTCGGTCAGGTAACTCGGTCTGCTTAGACAGTCTCCGATTGAAATTGTTCTTAAGTATATATTTGTGACTCCCAACTTGCCTTGGTTGCCTCATTTTTTAATTTAAAATAAAAACAACCCATCCTGTGCCCGGCTATGAAGTCCACCACTACCCCCGCTCATGAACTAACATGCACTATGCGTCATACACAACTGATTACAGTCAAGCAATTTAAACATATGTCGTTCTAAACTGGATATTTATCGTAACCCATCTTAATTAACCAAGACAAAACATGTTCCCGTTAACCACTATTAATTAAGATCAAAAGCCATGAGAGCCATGCCTGGTGTAGAATTAGAGCATTATTATTATTATTATAAATATAAGCGTGTTATCGTCTGCATTTGTCTGAGTAGTGACGAGAACAGGCAAATAATAATAATAAAATGCCCTAATTCTATATCAGATATGACTATCATGGCTTCTGATCTTAATTGGTGCGAGGTGTTAGCATGTACTTGTTTCTCTTTCTGGGAAGTGTTTTAATAGAAAATGGAAAATTTGACCCCGAAATCCGAAAGTCTATTTGGAATGGCGAAAGAGACACTTTCAAAGGCTCAGCAAAGCATTAAGACAAACGAAAGTTTCATTAGAAGAAAAAGAAAAAGGTGTTCTACTGTTGGTAATCAGTCATCCTATATGAAAATGCATTCTGGACAATTTCCTCACAGATGGAGAAGAAACTCGAAGCAACAGAGATATGGTTCTACAGAAGGATGCTGAGAATACCATGGACGGAGCATGTGAGTGACGATGAAGTTTTAATAAAAAAAAAAAAAAGTACACTGATACTTAGAAACTGATATAGTTGAATTTTTAGTACACATAAATGAGGAAAGAGGGCTTGGAGAATGTGACACTCACAGGATATACTGAAAGCAAGTGGGACAGAGGGAAACAGCGAGTAATCAACCTAAGAAGCTTGTGTAAATGGATGGCAGAAAAGGAAGTGGGGAGGATAGTAAAAAGACAAGCAATATTAAGAGCTACAAAAGATAGGAAGTAGTAAAGAGCCATGAACTTCTCCGTCCCAAAGGGAGACTGCACGTAGGAGAAAAGTACTCATCAGATATCCGAGGATTGTAGCAAGTCTCCTCAAATCTTAGATATTCTCATACGCCACAGAAATGCGTTGCTTTTTGCACATTGTCAATTATTCCTCAAATTGTCAAGTCATCTAATCTCGCTTTTAATGCTTCCGACGTGAAACAATGTCGGAAATATTAGAAACAATATCGTTAAAACAATAACACTAGAATCAAAGTAATTTATTATTGTTATTCCTTTCTATTTCTCAGGTAAACATTCTCGATTTTGTAGCAAAACATATTATGGCCGTGCTTAGAAAATCATTTATTGGGAACTTCGACGTTGTGTAATGGTTAAAAAGCTTGTCTCGCTAGATCAATTACGAATGAACAGAGTTCTATCCTTACTGGGTGTCCTATAGTTTCGACATTGTGCCGCATCCTGAGCTACTCTTGGAATACCACCATACAATGGGCATGCTTTAAGGTCCTCAGTTCGACCAAGGATGACCTGGAACCATGGTATACCAAAACACTATCCTTTACCTTCTACAACCTTCACAACTCTTGCTCTTTGTTCTGACATTCTACCAATTTCTCACGAATTATTTAAACATTGATGGTTATTTGTTTTTTCTTAATTAAAATGATATATTACGAAATATCCACAGGACTTTCAAATTATTTTATTTGACCATTTTTTATGGCACGAGGAAAGTAGCTACAGTCTTAATGTAGAAAAGTTAGAAGCTTTTTTCACTTTTGTTCACTCATAACAAGGTGTTAATATCACTAACACGCAAGGGGTTACTGAGAGTGAAAGAAATATGAGAACTTTAGTGAGGAGAAAGGACAATACAAGAACAGGATTCAGAAACACAAAAGATGGCGATTGATGTTGCATTTAAATTTTTGAAGATCATAGTTGATAGGAAAGCAAGAAGATAGAAATTGAGTTCCACAGGCGAGAAACGCGAGCGAGAAAAAAAATATTAGAATAGACCTCATGCTTAAATGCAGCTACTTCAACAGTTTAATGATGAGACCTAACCAGTCTAGTAGCATGCTTAAAATACTGCGATCGACGTACCAAACAGGAAAGCCCATACATAATTTACTTGTTTACAAGCATTGATTTAAAACCGTATTCTTTACGAACACAAATATAATAATTGTTCAAAGTTAATTTATTTTTTCTTCGTCGTCAACGCATCCTGTGAATTACCCCAATTCTTTAAAGTTTCTGTATTTTCTAGCATCTTTTAACTTTGAGCAATGCGACGTGTTTTAGCATCCACTCGCACTTTAAGCCAGATAATATTTCCCATGTGTTTTTAGATGTTATAAACTAACTTATTAATACCCCATTAAAAAGGGGTTGAAATTGTATATCGTTGACGTACAAATGACGTCATACTTCCATCCCTGCCAATGTTGACTTTGTGAAAAGTTATATTTTAAATTAACAGTTAGATTTCCAACTTCTATATGCACCGAAAGCGCTTACAAAATCACTTTTATGTTTATGCTATTCATACATATCCTTATTGCCCGTCTAATACCCGTTTTCGAGCACACTCCTCTGCAAGTACGACTAGCCAAACCCTATTACAGACGTATGTTCAATCCGGAAAACACACCCGTGGTTTATACTGCAACTATGCTACGCGGTCCTTAGAGTTTCAGGGAGACAGCGCACAATCTGGTGTGATCAATTTCTTGATTGATTTGGATTTTTTACAGCTTACCAACCGTTTGTAGGTTAATTAAAGTCAGAAAATAATTTTAGATTTGAAGAATACTTTGGTGATAATAATGGTTTAGTGATACAAGTCTTACTAATTAACCCATATCTGGGGGAGTAGAGGTGGATTCATCCCTTTCCGAAGAGCATTTGCGCGTAAGTGAATATAACGAACCCAACTGGAATTGGAACTCTCCGATTAACAGTTCTGAGCCATTATCCATTACACCACCCGCACATCGAAGCTTACAGCACCTGGTATTCCCAAGCGGTCACTAATCTAGATACTAAACAGGTTCGACGTTGTTTAACTTCGGTGATCGTACGAGAACCGGTGTTTAAACATGATATGGTCGGAAGCCCGATCAACTTCTTGAACAAGACCACTAGGCTGAAACCCTCGGTCATGATGACTTGTGACTTCGTGCTAGCACAATCATCGATTACTTATGAACATTTTTGTTTTGTTTTGGTTTTTTTGTTTTTTTGTTTTTTAAGCATTACGCCTAGGATGCAGGGGGTTGCAGATTTGGAGCGAGGGCAGATAGGAGTGATAGAAGAAAGGATGAGGAGAGGGATAGTGGATAGATCAATGTATCTGGAGATATCGATTAACATTACATTTGAATAGTTGGAGATTATAGCTCTCAGGGAAGGGTGTTCCACAGGCGAGATGTGCGAGGTATGAAGCTATTAGAGTAGAAGAGACGGCTACATTTAAAAGTTTCTACAGTGTAAGGGTGGGAGCGGGATGCCAGCCTCGTAGGGCGCTTGAATTCATGGGGTCTGGGAACCAGTGAAAGCAGCTCATCGGAGCAATTACCATGGAAGTTTTTGTAGAAAAGACAGAGCTTCCCAATTTCACTGACAAGCCTTGGGACAAAATGTAGTATGCTTTTTAGGCACTTTCCGAAAGTGCAAGCACACACACACACACACACACACACACACACACACACACACACACATATATATATATATATATATATATATTAAGAAATGGACAAAGTCCGACAATTTGTTTATTAAAGACATTTTTATGTTTAACGTTCTTTTTATAGATACAAGTATTTAAGTAAATGCTCTTAATTTCTTAATATATGACGTCATTTGTTTACATTTGATACGCCATGAGCAGTTATGAATGTACAAGATTCATGGAAGATTGAAGTTTATAAGCAGTAAATTCAACTTGCCAATCGGATGCTCCTTTGTGGCGTAAATGACGGTTCCGTATAGGATGCAGGTTCGAATCCTGTCAAAGGACGAATATTTTCTATGAAAATTTCTCGGACATTCAGGCCGGTAAATGTTATTTAATACTGTTTATTATAAACAGAGCATTTATTTAAATACTTGTATCTATAAAAAAAATATATATATATAAATGACCGCCTGAGTCGTTTCCCGTTCAAGCAATCTTCAGAAGACTAGAGCGCTTTAGTCGGCTAAAGATCGGGAAACTCAGGCAGCGACTCGTGTTGTCCTTTGATAGGAGTTAGCGTTTTTTTTGTCCTGTAAAGTAATCTAGTCATTGATTATATTTATCTACTGACCAGGTAGCCTTTAGGGCTTTTTTCTATTTTTCTTTCCATGTTCAAGAGTTTTTTCTTGATTAGTAGGACTTTTTGGCAACTTGTACTTTGTGTTTCACTAACGTATGTGGTTTTCTTTAATATATATATATATATATATATATATATATATATATATATATATATATATATATATATATATATATGGGGTGTATATATCTTCGCTATGGTACCTAGAGTACCATTAATTTACAGTAAAGCTGGCTAGATATAACCGTAAATTCTATCCTAACAGTTTCTTCTCTCGTTTGAGGAACTCCCTTCCGGCTCCATTCTTTCTAGTCAACTTTAATCTGCAAAAATTTAAATGCAATGTCAATCACTATCTACTGTCCTCCCGATTATATATAATAATAATAATAATAATATATAATATAAAAATGTAACTATTATTATAATATATATAATATAAAATTTCATATATAATATAAATAATATCAATAATATAATATATAATATAATATATAATATATATAAAAATTAAATATATATATAACAAATTCATATATGATATAATTAATTAATATACATATAATAAACGTATATATATAATATAAATAATATCAATAAATGATATTATATATAATATAATAATATATATATAATAAACGTATATATATAATATAAATAATATCAATAATATAAAATATATTATATATTATATAATATATAATATACAATATAATATAATATATAATATATATATAATATAAAAATTATATATTAATAATAATAATAATAATAATAATAATAATATTAATAATAATAATATAGACTTATTATAATCTGTCCTCCTGATTACTCTCTTGTTTTTCTGCTCATCATTATTGTTTCTGACCTTGATCCTTCCACATCCTGTAACCCGCATTATGGACATGGTCAGAAGCAAAAACACCCATAACAATAATAATTCAGAAGCAGGCATATATAGAACAAATTGCCAAATCTGTTCCTCACAATACATTGAGAAATCATGCAGAAATTTAAAACAAAAAACGTATCTGTGAACACAAAAGAAGGCTGAGACATAACGATTTATCACATGCACTAGTCATAGACGGAAGTAAATTCAACCATAATTTTGATCGAAAAATGCTACACTTATCACAAGAGAAAATAATTGCCGCTCTCGAATCTTATCAAAATATAAACCTACGCCCCGGTTTCTTTCCAATCTCACCTTTCCTGAAAGAAATACTACTTTCACAAACCAACCTACACAACCACAAAAAAATGATAAAAATGGTTAAATCCATTACCTCATTTTTTTGAAGATGTACAGTACACACATCCATCCCAGATTAATTTAAAGAATATTCATTTATAAAAAAAATTCTTGAATATTACTCGCTTACTTTTGTCGTACCAAACTTTGAATTATGGCACTTTGTGTCCTTCACATGTTTCAACCCTCTAATGAATATTCATGAACGTTCTCAAATTTAGAAGCCTTGACAAACCAGACATCCTCGCTTCTGGTATCTGTCTATATTTCTGAGGTGAGGTATTATGTACACTATTTACATTGTTCGGACTATTGTCCTCATCTTTGTTGCCATATTAAGGCAGTGGAGAACGGAGAGGGGAATTAACAGGAGATAACTGATAACTGACATCCATTATAAATGGTACATGGAACTAGAACTAGTCTATCCCAGCGAGCGAAATAAAGGATTCAGTTCGACATTTCAACTGCCTGAAGAAGGCCGGTGCGTACAACGGCCGAAACGTTATGATAAATATGGCAACAAAGATGAAGACGATAGTCCGAACAATGTAAATAGTGTATCGTCGCTTTTGTATATAAACACGTGAAGCGAAATAAATTCTTACATTTGCCTTGATAAAATCCCTCAGAGAACGAAACGTGTCGGCTAAGAATAGCTTCTCTTCCTTTTGTCTTTTTTTATTCATATATATATATATATATATATATATATATATATATGTGTGTGTGTGTGTGTGTGTGTGTGTGTGTGTGTCTTTTTTTTCATATATATATATATATATATATATATATATATATATATATATATATATATATATATATATATATATGTCTTTTATTCATATATATATATATATATATATATATATATATGCGTGTGTGTGTGTCTGTGTGTCTGTGTGTGCCTGTGTTTTTTTATTCATATATATATATATATATATATATATATATATATATGTCCTTTATTCATATATATATATATATATATATATATATATATATATATATGAAAAAAGACATATATATATATATATATATATATATATATATATATATATATGTCTTTTTTATTCATATATATATATATATATATATATGTCTGAAGATTGCGTTCACACGGTGTTCAGCGCAGTGTCCACTATTATATTTTATATTTACAGGCGTTCTATTTCTGAATCACTGATGCTGAGTATCTTTACCTATAGATATAGCACACCTTAAAACTATATTTTATCAGATAGATAGATAGATAGATAGATAGATAGAAGTACTGTCTATCGATTTTTTTATTAAATCTTTCAAATTTCTGAATAAGTTGTTTTGTGTTATTGGTTGAATTCATATTAGATTTTATCTTTTATTACATTTTCCCGGGTACATTCGAATGTAGGTACATCAGCTTTCAAGGATTGTTTTTGTGTGTACTTACGCAACTGGTTTTTAATTCCGGCGTTCTCACGTTTAATGGAACCAATTTCAAGTCAGTCAAGATGACGTCATATACGGTCAAAGTGAAATTTGTGTGTGTGTGTGTGTGTCTGTCTGTCTATGTGTGTGTGTTTGTGTGTTTTTGTGTGTCTGTGTCTTTTTTAACATATGACAAATAAAAAAATAATATAAACATTAGACAAATTTTAGTAGATAACACCAAAATTTTATATAGGACACAGTGCAAAGAAAGACTTCAAATTCTGGAGGCTACTGTACTAAAAGAGAAACAGCCAACATTGAATAAGGTGTCTTTCACCGTAGATGACAGTATATTGAAGTGTGTTAAAAAAAAAATTTAAAAAATTTTTAAAAAAATTTTAAAATAAAGAAAAAATTAAAAAATAATAAAAAATTTAAAAAAATAAAATATAAAAATAAATAAATAAAAAACGCACACAAACATAAAAAAAATTCTGTTTGACCGTTTACATGACGTTACCTTGAGTGACTTGAAATTGAATCCATCAAACATGAGAAAGCCGGAATTAAAAATCAGTTGCGTAATTAAACAGAACAATCCTTGAAAACGAATGGAGTAATATTCGATAGTACTAGAGAAAAAATAATCTAAAATAAATATGAACTTTGCAAATGATGTAAGCGACATAGCGCAAAGAATTCTCGTTAGTTTTATGAAAGCTGAAAGAGATATGACACAATAAATCTTTTTTTTTTTTTAAAGAACGGAGGCGGAAATGACTCTCCAAAGATTCTTCTTCTATGTGTCGTGTCCCTCCAGGATGTTGACAATCATGACTCTCCACAGATTACATTTCTTTATTATTTGTGACTTGCTATGACATCTTGGGAAAGATAGTGGAGTAGTTTCCTGTTGCCTTCTCCTTGGTTTGAATATTTAATCGATAACTGAGAGAAGAAGAGATGGATTTGTGTCTTTTTCAAGGGCATAAAGAACAACGTGGCTCAAAAGAGAATATAACTCAAATTAAAAGACATGAAAACATTTACAGGATTAGCAATAGTGTGTATGCAGATGTGTGTGTGTGTGTGAGATAAGATAGATAGATAGATGGAGAGAGAGAGAGAAAGAGAATTAGTAGGCATTTATAATGCAAATTATATTTAATTATGTACTGGAAACAAGATAAATAATCTGAAATATAGAAAAGATAAATAAATAAAAAGACGTTATTTGGTTTTAACCAAAATTTTATCTACATGTATATCATTAATTAATATTATATGGGGTACAGTGCAAAACAAAGACTCCAAATTCTGAAGGTTATTGTAATAGAAGAGAAGCAGTCGACATTGAATAAGGCCGTAGAGAACCGTATATTATTGAAGTGTGTTTAATATTATAAAAAAAAAACAAAAACAAAACACAAACACACATAAAAATTTCAATTTACCTGAGGATCACTTAAGATGATCATCTATCTATACAACGTTATCCCACAATTTCAAGGTCGAGTGTTGTTCGTGTGGCAGTAGGGATTGAACCTTACCCACAATAACCCATAATTATCTTTGCCTTCTTACTAATAGCAGCCTATCGACAGTCTGGTAAGTTGACATCTAATATGTGTAGTTATATAATTGATTATATAATCAAAAAATAAAATGAACTCAATGAGAGTCATCGACGATTACTGAATGTTTATGGAGAGCAAACAGTAGCTGTGAGCACAGTTTAGGGGATGTGTAATGCATTTCAGCAATTGATGTGCGGACTTACCACCTTGCCTGCTAATGTACTTAACGCCTCTATATAGCGTTGTAATCAGCAGTATGAAAGTAAAGGACTCTCTCACTCACTCACTCATTCTCTTTCTCTCTCTCTCTCCATCTATCTATCTATCTTATCTCACACACACACACACACACACCTGCATACACACTATTGCTAATCCTGTAAATGTTTTCATGTCTTTTAATTTGAGTTATATTCTCTTTTGAGCCACGTTGTTCTTTATGCCCTTGAAAACGACACAAATCCATCTCTTCTTCTCTCAGTTATCGATTAAATATTCAAACCAAGGAGAAGGCAACAGGAAACTACTCCACTATCTTTCCCAAAATGTCATAGCAAGTCACAAATAATAAAGAAATGTAATCTTTGGAGAGTCATGATTGTCAACATCCTGGAGGGACACGACACATAGAAGAAGAATCTTTGGAGAATCATTTCCGCCTACGTTCTTTAAAAAAAAAAAAGATTTATTGTGTCATATCTCTGTACCTGTCGATAAAACTCAAAACTAATCATCAGTTCCTGTTTTTTTCTGAAATAAAAGATCTTGATTTTTGTCATGTGCGATCATCCATGCGTTTCTTGGTTTTCTTTTCTCTTTCGTTTTCAAGAAAAGTGATTTTTATTCCTTGCCTGGATTCGACAATAAAATTTTAGACCCCCCCCCAACACACACACACACACACACACACACACAAACAGCTAGGGCCGATGACAAAGCCAGTAGACTGCAACTCTTGTTAATATTTTTGAGTCTGTCCGTTGCGACAAACGAACGGACAGGCGAGAAGAAAAACAACCGCGCGCGCTCAGATGCTGGTGCGATCGCGCGTGCACACGCATACACAAATACGCACGCGCACATTCTCTTTCTTTCTCGCACACACGCACACACATTTTCACTCTCTATCTATCTCTCTTACTCACAGACGCATACACACAAGCACACACCCGATATCATAACAAATAAGTACGAAAATTAGAACAGGTCCAAACAAGACATCCTCCAAAAGCTTGTGTGAACAGATATGCAAAATAAAGGATCTTGATATGACGATAAAAGAAAGAAAGAAAGAAAGAAATTAAATAAAGAAAAAGGCGCAAAGAAAGAAATCGAGTAAAAGAAAAAGAAAGAAAGAAAGAAAAAAGAAAGAAAAAAAAGAAAAAGGCGCAAAGAAAGAAAGAAAAGAAAAAGGCGCAAAGAAAGAAATCGAGTAAAAGAAAAAGGCGGAAAGAAAGAAAGAAAGAAAGAAAGTAAGTAAGAAAAAAACGCAAAGAAAAAGAAATCGAAAAAGAAAGGCGGAAAAAGGAAAGAAATTGAGCGAAAGAAAGAAAGAAAGAAAGAAAGAAAGAAAGAAAGAAAGAAAGAAGTGAAAAGAATAAAATAAAGAAAGGCAAAAAATGAACGGAGCATAGGAAAATAAAGAAAAAGCAGAGAAAAATTATAAAAAATAAAAAATCGAGAAAAATTGTTAAAAAAATAACTATCAAAGAAATAAAAGCATAGTTATTTAATTCTATCTTTTTATTTTTCTTTCTTTTTACTTTTCTGTTGGTTTTAAATAAAATTAATAAAAGGAAAAGTGGCAGGATATATGTATGTATGTATGTATGTGTGTATGTATGTATGTATGTAAAAAAAAACATTACAAATGATGCAAAAGAGAAAAAAGAAAAATGGAAAAAGTAAGAAAAAACAAAGTTAAATCAAAGAAACAGACAAACCAACAAAGTAAAAGAAAATGAATACTTGAAAAAGAAAAGACAGAAAACGCGGGAGAATAAAAGTTAAATAATAATAATAATAATAACGGCAACAACAATAACAAGAGTAACAATAAAAACGTTATAAAGTCGAAAACAATGTTTTGCGTGTTTGCCGTCATGCAAGCAAAATAGTGATGACCTGAGCGGCCGCCAATTTTTCGTCCTTTCAATTGAGCAAAGACCACTGACAAATACTTTCGTCTACAAGGGGGAGTTGAATGTTTATTGTTGTTTGATTGAAAAAATAGCATTTTTTTTCTTTCGCGCTACAGAAGAATTTTTTTTTTTTTTTTAGTTGGTTGGTTATTTTGTTTATCGGCATATCAACCTTTATGGGTTATTTAATGCCGAAATCTAAATATTTTTTGTACATAATTTTATTTTTGGAGATAATGGTTCAGTGATACAATTCTTACTAATTAACCCATAGCTGGGGGAGAAGAGGTGGATTCATCCCTTTCCGAAGAGCATTTGCGCATAAGTAAATATAACGAACCCGACTGTAATTGGAATTCTCCGATTAACAGTTCCGAGCCATTATCCATTGCACCACCCACACAAGCTTACAACACCTGGTATCCCCAAATGGTCACCCATCAGAAAGAGACAGTTGAAATTTCTAGGAAACATAAATTAGAAAATTTGACACTGACAGAGCAGATTGAAGGCAATATGGACAGAAGAAAGCAGAGGATAATCTACTTGTGTAAATAGATGGCAGGACGGGGTTAGGAGAGGTGGCGAAAAAACAAAATTTACTCAGAGCTACAAAGGACACGAAATTTAGGCATACCATGATCACCCACGTCCTGAAGGGACACGGCACATATAAAAGCATTATAGGTCATGTGTGTGTAGCGTAACATTTATCAACGCGTCAAGTGTTATCGTCTAGCGGAGTTCGAATTCCGGACAAGCTACGGCGGGGAAAAGATGGATTCGTGCCTTTCTTTTTTCTCTAGCCTTGGATGGCAACCAATCTAAAACAAGGAAACCTCTGAAATCCAAATCTGGAAGGGAAGAAGTTGATGAAAATAATCAAAAAAAAATTGTATGTGGAGAACCGTGATCGCCTACGTCCTGGAGGAACATGACATTTAAAAAATAGTATTACTAGTAATACTGCAAGCAGGACGTGATGAGTAATTATTTTTACCACTTCTGGGATTATTTCTCCAGCAAACAATATTTTACAAACTAATGTGGGTCAGGGTAAATCAAGTCACATGGTGTAAAATGCAATGAACAACATTGGCAACAGTTTTACACACATATATATATATATATATATATATATATATATATATATATATGAAGAAATATAGTCATAAGATGTGCTATATTTATGGGATAAAGTGCTCAATATCAGAGATAGAGCGTGTGTAAATATAAAAGTGAACATGAAGTCAATGCTTATGCAATCGTGGCCTGTCGATTGCATATAGCATGAAACAGACTGTCGCCTGACGATTGATTTATATGCATAACTACTTTATATATATATATATATATATATATATATATATATATATATATATATATATATAAATATATATATATATTATACATATATATGTATTATACATATATATATAAATATATATATATTATACATATATATGTGTGTGTGTGTGCGTATATATATATATATATATATATATATATATATATATATATATATATACTGTCATCCATAAACAGACTGATTTGCTGTATCACAGCTCATCAGTGTGACTAGAAGTCCAATCGCTTCAAGCCGGAACCGAAACCCGACCGATTTGGCATTATATATATGACGAGCTACATTCCTTTGATCTATTCTTCTGTCTCTTTTGCCTTCAATATGTCCTGTTGGTGTCAAATTCTCTAAACCATCTTTTCTTATTATATGGCCAAGAAATGACAACTATGTTTTTCTTTTCACATTCCTTCCCGGTCTTTTGAACAGGTGTAGAATTTTATCCCTTTTTTCTTGTTTGAGATTGGGTTTCTGCTTCCTTCCAATATCTACTTCAACCCTATATTTCTAATATTTCCGCCTAAAACTCTGAATTTTATACACTATTTATTTACATTTTTCTTCAGTAGGAGTAGATAGGTTTGTCTATCGTCCGGTACACAACCCTCTTCGCACTTTTGAACAGAAGTAGAGGTTTATCCCTTGTTTCCGGTTTAGGATTGAGTTTCCGGTTCCCTGTAAAGTCTCTTCATTCTCTTTTACTACCAGTAGCCCATGGCATCATAGTGGCATTGTCGTCTTGCTTGAAATGAATTGATTAAAAAAAATTCAACATTATAGGAAACGTCGAAAAGAAAAAAACAACCATGGAGTTTAAACAAATAATTATAAAAGACTTATACACTATCTTGAGCCCTGACCATCGCTTTACTGGTGGCAGAGAAAAATGACGTAATGCCCAGCCACCGGTTGAACAGTGGTAGAGAAAAATGACTTAATGCCCAACCACCGATTGAATGATGAGTAAACACTTGTAACTATTTTTATATCTAACGTGAAACATTACATACCAATTATTTGCAAATTTTGACTCAAGAGCTCAGACAGAAAGGTTAAAAAAAATTTCAGGAAGACAGGGATCAAAGTGTTAAAAAAATTTTTTAAAAAATAGGAATTACAACTCAAGGGGAAAATAATGATATAATCAAGCTGTTGACTTTCCACAGTACCTTAAACAAAAAGTTAAAAAGGAAACTCCCGTCAGTACCAGAAAGAGCGGAAACAGTTGAGAATATTATCCCTCTCACTATCCCCCACCTAAAAAAAACAATTTTAAGAGAATGATTTTATAAGTTTATAACAGACAGTAACGCTAACCGTTCGGACAAGAAATGCCGAAAGTTTTCTGTGTGGAAACGGTTAATCGCACCATTACCATTAGCCTATTGATAAAACATGTTTATAGAATCATGAGTGTTTTGTTAGTATAGTTATAGAGAAAAGAAAGGAACGTCATCGTTTGAAATTGTTGAATTTTCATACACAATTTTCAATTGATGTGATAAAGTACTTCCATGCCGCGTGTGTTGCAAGAGAAAGAAAAATAAACGGTCATAGTAAGTGAAAGCGAGGCTTTCAAAAACGCGCCACCTATAATTCTAAGCCAAGGGTGATAATTCTACAATTGTTGATGTATTTTTGAGTAACTGAAGGTTCTTAATCTTAAGTTAACTTCGACAAAGCAGTGTCATTATTAATATTTTAATAATTTTTGTTTCTTTCATTTTAGTTTTTTTATTGTAACGCGCGTCTTCTACTTTCTCCGATCGATTATTATGGAAAAATGGATAAGAAAATAAAGATGGGATCAGAAGTTTCTTTCTTTAATTTTCCAATCTATGTTGCTTAATTAACGGTCGTAGAATGTAAAAACTGTTACCCTAAAAGAAACCAAAGTAAAACGAAAGAAAAAGCTTATAAAAGATAATAAGAAAGAAATATTTCCCTAAACTTTAAAATACTTCATCCACGAAATATCCCAATGGATGGTTAATAAATAAATGAAATTAAATATTTTAAAAAGAAGATACATTCAAAACTCTGGTGGGAAATTACGTAAGTTAAATTTAGTTTATAAATAATGCTAAATTGAATAAACAGAGAGTGACGTATAGATTTCTCTCTGTGATATCTCTTGTAATATTTGCCAGTGGCCATTTTGAAAATGAAATGTTTTTGTCGCATGTAGCAAGAAAGCGAAAAAGAAAATGTCATAAAAGCTGATATAATAAATAATTTTAATGCTTTTCTGCTGAATTTAGATTATAATTTAGATTTTAACAACTATTTAAAAAGTTAGCAAATCAGACGCATCGATTTTTTTTAAACATTTGAAACAGCTTTTACCTTAAACCATGTCTGCTTGAATTTTACACAACTTAAAAGGAAAAGAAACGATAAAGATTAAAGAATTAAAATGAAAACCTCAAAATGTAAACCTAAAGCCTTCAAACGAAATCCTATATATCCAAGCATTAAAAATATGTCTACAACATGTGTGCATTAAAATGTAGCTTATCAAGTTACGACTTTCGTTCAATTTAGAAAAAAAAAAAAAAAAAAACGAAACAAAAACATGACTTGAATTACTGAAACTAAGTATAAGTTACCTCTTTCCATCACACTGGGAAACAATTAATCACATAATCATTAAAACATAGTTAAATAAGTTAATAAATACTGTAAACATTTTTAACATTCTAGTTTCATATAATTTGCATTTTGAAAAATTAAATTACATATTTATATTGCTACATTAACTGCTTGTTTCCCTTTAAGACGATACTGAAATTTTATAAAATACGAAACGAATCGAATACATCAAACTAAATGAAACTAAGAAAGCAACGCAGTTAATAAAAAAAAGATTTGCCAGATTTATACTAAATAAATAATAACTATATTTTAGGTACTCCAAAGATTGATTATTTTATTAAATTGTTTCATCTTTTCTAGCACGTTCGAAATTTTGGTTAAAAGAAATTTGTTTTTGCGTCAGCGGGTGTTCTTAAAAAACAATGATAAAATGAAAGCTTCAAAAAAACTTTTTTTTATTCTTAAAATTAAATTTAAACCTTAGTCATCGCGATTTTTGTGGAGGTACCAACTATATTTATAAAGGAATAACT